TCCAAATACTTCACTTTTAAAGAGATTCTATTGAGACCCCATCTCTTTCTTTTAATTAGAGGTGACCCTCCTGGGGTCCTCCGAGATACTGGAAAGTTACACATTTGTTACCCTGGAATCTCCCAACGCCACTTTCCTAAGTTGTATCCATTGCCTCCTCTTTCCCATGCCTTCATCTTTCTTGATTTACTCTCTCTTTTTGCTGGAGTATATCTTCAAGTAGCTTCCTAACAAACGGAGGTAATTTTTTTGAGTCATCCCTCAAATTTGAAATGCGTCAAATATTTTAGTTCTTCTGTTAAACTTGGTGGATAGTTTGATGATGTATAAAATTTTAAGTTATAAAAGTTTTCTATTAGAATTTTGAAGACCTTGGTCCATAGGCTTCTATTATCCAGTGTTACTAAGAAAAAGCCTGAAGTCATTTTAATTCTAATTCCATCTTTGTGACTTTTTATTTTTTCATTTTAGAATATCTTATAATCCTTTCTTGATCCCTTGTTCTCTGACATTTAATGTTCATGAACTTTTAATTGGCTCTTTTTTCACTTATTGGGCTGGACATCTTGTGCATCCTTTCAATATGAAGACTTGTCTTGAGAAAATAACAGTACCCTCCTTCCAGTTCCATTTCCACAACTTTCTCTGTTCTTTCTATAGCCATTATAATTTGTATGATAGAGTTCTTGGGTTTACCTTCTATTTAAATGTTTTTTTGCCCTTCCCATTGGTCGTCTTTTTGTTCTCTTTTTCTTCAGATTTTCTTGACTTGCTTTTTCAGCCACCCAGTTCAAGTTTTTAAGTCATGTCAGTTTCCAAAAGTTCTTTCTTAATCTCTGAGTTTTTTTTTTCTTTGTTTCCTGCTGCTTAATATATGCATTTTTTCCTATGTAACTGAGGATAAGAATTAGGGGAACTATTTCCTTCTGTCTTGCATTATCTCTGATAAATAAAGATCTTTATTTCCTGTTTGTTTTGATTTCTCACATGAAAACCTTTCATGTTAGAGCTTTTCTCAATTACTTATTTAATCTTAGTTGTCTGTTCATATTTAAGATGCTAAAATGTGTGTGTGTGTGTGTGTGTGTGTGTGTGTGTGTATCTGAGTAAAACTGTGTGTGGGTATGGGTGAAAGGTGGTAGTATTTTTCAACTGATGGCATAACTTCAAGGAAACTGGAAAAACTCTTGGTCATTTTACTGGCATTTCCCCAACTTCCACAGAAGAGATTCCAGTATTCACTCAAGGAAATGCCTGGCCATAGCATTCTGCCTGTAGGGATTTAGAAGGTGGGGACAAAGGAGAACTTGGTTTCATCACTTAATTTACGGACTTTTAATTAATCTCTTTGTCATTACTTCTGCCCTCCACCTCTTTTGTTGCCTCTGAATCCTGAGTTTTTCCAGTTAATTTTTCTAGAGAAGAAAATGCAGATCTCCTGCCTGGAGAAGAGGTGAGTGGGTTGAGTACCAAATGCTTTCTGATTCTGGTGTTCTGATTTTTCTACATGCTTAGCCTTTCCAGGGTTATATGGAGCAAACTGGTTCTTTCTCATGTTTCTCCTCTGGTGTCTTCCATCTTGCCAAATCAGTAACTGTTCCTCCAACAACCTTTAATCTTCTAAAAATTTGTTGAAATCTGTCATATGCTGATATCTCCTTTCTCATTCTCTATGTGTGTGTGTATGTTTTAAATTATTCTTTTTATCCTATTAGTGGGAACACAGAATGAAGAAGCAATAAGCACATGCTAGCAAACTGCCATCTTTAATCAGAATTCTAGGTTATATAATTTTTATTGATATTGCTATAATGAACACTTTTTTGTGCCTGTAGCATTTTTCTCCTTTTGCATTTATGGATTAGTGTAGGATCAAAAGCACAAGTAAGAAATTAGATTTAAATACTTAGAAGGAGACTTTATCCCACATTTCTGAAGCTGGGAAGAGTTGTAAGGAGAATTCAAGGCTAATGGGAATGGAGATGAAGAGCTTTGTGTCATGTTTTTATTTCTTAAATGAGATTATTTGTAGAGTGATGGGATTATAAATGCTTTTGACTCTTTAAACAAATGGGGTGTGGGGAGGGTGTCTAGAGCACTTTTCTTTGAGAAGTAAGGTGTTATACAAGAGCAACTTCTCCAACCTCAACTTTTTGCCTGAGGCAGCCCCTGTTGTCAGCCTAAATGACTTAACTTCTCAAAGAAATAAAATTTTCCCTGGGAAATGAAAGACATTAGTCCTGAGGGCCAGATATCTTCCAGGGATTGTGTCTGGGTGTGCTCAAGTCCTCTGCTTCTTCCATATTCCAGCCCCATTGAGCCATGGGTATATGGAGATCCCAGATAATAAAGAAAAAGCTTGCAATGCTTTTCTAGAAGGTAGAAGTTACTCCATGAGTGCTCTGTGCTATGGTTTGAATGTGTTTCCCAAAGGTTCATGTATTGGTAACTTAATCCCTACGCCCTTGAGAAGAGATTAATAGATTAATGAGGGTTCTTCTCTCATGAGTGGATTAATGTCACTATCACAACAGTGGGTTTGTTGTTTTGGTAGTGGGTGTTTTATAAAAGTGAGTTCTCTCTTGCTTTCTTGCTCTTACCCTCTTGCCATGTGATGCCCTCCACCATGTTATGATGCAGCAAGAAGGCCCTCACCAGATGCTGGTGCCATGCTCTTGGACTTCTCAGTCTCCAGAACTGTAAGCCAAATAAGTTCATTTTCTTCATAAATTATCCAGTCTGTGGTGTTCTGTCATAGCAACAGAAAATGAACTAAGACACCCTGTATCAGGAATGGAACCAGCTACCTGATAAAGTTTGCCCCAGAAGGAAGGTCCTTCTCTTTAGTTGGTTAACTTTGGATTCTGGATGTCAACTCACTGAACTGTGAGCTGTCCCAGGAGGCTCATTGCCCATTCTCAGCAGTACCTGGTCCCTCAGGGCCTAGTGTCAAACCAGGTACAGGTGGGCTTATAGACCAGAGTACAAAATGAATGAATTGACTTATTCCCTCCTAGTCTCTCATTTGAACAATGAACTCTTCCAAGCTTTTATTTCTTACATTTCTCCAACAAGGACTCATGTAACAAAGTGAGCATAGAAGAGGCACTAATAAAAACCCCCGTTATCTAAAAAATTAGTCTGAAGAGGAGTGTGGCAAATGACAACTCCACTCATTTGCACAGCATTTTACGGTTTTCACATCCCTGTTTTTCTGCATTGTCTCGTTTGTCCTCACCACAACCCTGAGGGGTTCTTAAGATAGTGAACAGCATCTTTCTTTTACAGATAGTGTGATTGAGGCCCAGTAAATTACATGGCTTATGCAAGGTCATGCAGCTAATATGTGTCAACAGAAGGTCTTTGTCCCAGGTCTTCTGACTTCAAGACCAAAGTTATTCCCAAAATATCATATGATTTTAGAAAAATAATAACAATAATGAGACTTAAATCACCCACATAAGAAATATCCATGAAATAATAGCATATTATACCCAGACAGCTGAGTCTGCTCTCAAGGGATTTTTATACTTTGGGGTCTATCTATTATTTGATTGATTGATTAATATTCAAGTTGTTTTAACTCCAAATGATTCATTCATTCACTTATTCACTTACTTAGAAAAACATCCACTGGTTGCTTAATTTGTGTCCAGTACTCTTTGGTAGCTAGAAAAAAAAATATTGACTATAGTCTATGATATCAAACAGTTTAGCATGAAAGTGTAGGATATGAGGCAGCATATGAATTTTCTATTGTTGCTGTAAGAAATTGCCATAAATATAGTAGCTTAGAACAACTCAAATTTATTATCTTACAGCTCTAGAGGTCAGAAGTTTGAAGAGTCTCATTAGGCTAAAATCAAGATGTTGGCAGGGCTGTCTTCTTTCTGGAGGCTGTAGGAAAGAATCTGTTTTCTTCCCCTTCCCAGCTTCTAGAGACCTCCTACCAGGTGATCTCTTTCATCTTCAAACCCAGCAATACCTGGTTGAGTCCTTATGACAATGCTGTATTTCTAGTTATGGCTCATCTGCCCCCGTTCTTCTTCATTTAAGGGCTCTTTTGATTATATTGGGCTTTCCTGGATAATCCAGGATAATCTCCCTATCATAAAGTTAGCTGGCTAGCAACCTTAATTCCCTCTGCTACTGTAATTCCCCCTCACCATGTAACATAATATGTTTTCAGGTTCTAGGGATTATAATGTAGACATCTTCAGGGGCTCATTATTCTGTCTACCACGGATAGTAGGTGATCTCATCTGGAAATAACATTAAGATTGTAATTCTAGGCATTGCGTACTTGGTGCCAAATGAGTATTATAGACCACAAGCGCAGAAAGCAAGAAGGAACATCCTCTTCTGAGTGATCAAGAAACTCTTCATATTAGACAAGTGCTATGGTTTAAATATTTGTTCTCTCTGAGACTTATGTTGAAACTTAATCCCCAGTGTAACAGTATTATCAGGTGGGGCCTCTAAGTGGTGACTGGGTCATGAGGGCTCTGCTCTCATGACTGGATCAGTTCATGTATGGATTAATGGGCTAATGGATTGATGGACTATCATACGAGTGGGTTAGTTATCAGGATAGTGGGTCTGCTACAAAAGCCGGTTTGACTCTCAGTGCACCCCTCTTGTCCTGTGATACCTTTCGCTATGTTATGATGCAGCACGAGTTTTTCACCAGAGGCTGATCAGAGGCAGCTCCTCAACTTTGGACTTCTCAGCCTCCAGAACTGTAAGAAATAATATTTTCTTCTTTACAAATTACCCAGTCTTAGATATTCTGTTATAGCAACAGAAAATGGACTGAGATAGCAAGGAAACTGAATAAGCAAAGTTTCTTGAGTAAGAATGAACATGGCCACAGGGAGTCACAAGATATTTTTTAATCAGGGAGAGTGTAATAAAGGCAGTTTTGAGTGGATGAATCTGGTGCTTGGTTATATATGAACCTCATTAGAATATTACTGTCTCTGTCCCTCTCTGTTTCATAGAAGGAAAACCTGAAGTCTAGGGAGTATGGATGTCTCATGAGAAAGTCAGCTGACAAAGCCACTGGCCAGATGGTAAGGGGGTTTTTCACAGTTCTGGAGAGAGAAGGAGGCTCTAACTTTTGCCACTGCTCATGACTGTTCTCAATAAAACAAAATCTGTTTGGAATTATTCCCAGAATACCACTAAAATTAGTTCTTTCTGTCTTTACTTCTGGTCATCTTGTCTTATGGGGTATGCATTTTGCAGAACCCGCTTCTCTATGTCCCTATTCAGTTGTAATTGAGGGATGGGAGGAAGGAACATAGGTTGGGATAAGAGGTATTTTCTTGAAACATTTTGGGAAGTCTTTTTCTCCAGTATTGCCATTAAAGTCACATTGGGTTGTCAACTCTGGGCCCTTACCTAAAGCTTCAGCTCCAATTTTTTTTTTTTTTCTCTGCTCTTTCATTAAATGTGAGGCAGCACAATGCAGAGGAAAAGCACAGGGAAGAGAAGCAGAAGAGCTGGCTCCTAGCTCTCTTTTACCAGCTAGCTCTGGGATCACAGGCAAGTCACTTTTCCTAGTCTTATTTCTCCACCTGTTAAATGGGTTGGCTTGACATGACAGTGGTCTTCAGGTTCATTTGAGTTCTGAGCCTCCGTAATTATGATTCTATGACTCAGCATCAATGGAGCTCCCACTTGTGGAAGTCAAAGGTGGATCTACATCTACTACTCATGTATCCACCTCCCCATTTCCCTGACTGACTTTATGCTTCACGTTCGTTACCTGTTTGGGTGTCTTTCTCATCTTGGTTTGGCAACCCTTTCATGAAGATGTCCCAGAATGTGTGTCATTGGATGTCACTTATTCTCTGATCCTTCCATTCATTCATCCAACAATTAGGCACCTATTTGTGCAAGGTGAGGCAGCTCCATTTTTCTAAGCTTTCCTGTTAGGTAGGAAGGAAGTGCAATCCAGGCTTTTCAAATCATGGATGTCAGAGAATGTCTGAGTTGGAAGGACATTTAGAAACCATGATTCAATAGCCTTCCTTTCACAAACAAGGAAACAAAAGCCTAAAGAGATGAAGTGATTTGCTTAAAATCACATGGCTGAACTGGGAATGTCAGAACTGGGACTGGAGTCAATTTTCCAGTTTTCCAGCCCAGTTCTGCCTTCTCCCTCCATTATCTACCATATTCTATTAACTGCTTTGAAAACAAAACTGTAATGAGCCCTAAATTATTTTCTCCTTTAGCACAAAGAATTTTTAATTGGGGAAGGATGTGCCCAAATTTGTGATGAGAAACAATGAACACAGCCTCAGTGTAATTACTGGGCCATGGCCCATTGTTTCAGTAAAGGCATCCTATAATGGAAGGAAAAAGAAGATGAGGAAGGAGAGAATGCAGACCTTCTTTGTTCTCAAACCTTTTGTCTCTCTGTTAGGCTGTGTTTGTTTGCCAAACATGAGCCTGGCAAATTGCGTGCCCCAAGTAATCCCAACCATCTACCCCGACTCCTCAGTGCTGAGCTTGGCAGCTGATAGCTCAGCCTGTTTCATTGCCAAACTGAATGAATAGACCTCAGCCAAGTTCTGGCTGTGAAAAGAGGCCTTGGGTACAAGGGCCCCATGCTTTTTGTGATCCAGTAGGGACAGGTCACTGCCTGGCTTATTTGTCTTCAAACCAGGCCAACCCACTCCACACCACGTGGG